AAAAAAAAAAAAAAAAAAAAAAAAGCAGTCTTTCTTTTCTCAATCCAACAAATAATCTTGGGAATCAAACGCGGAGAGAAGTGAATCCACGGCTTGGCGCCTGCTCCTGACTGCTGTACGTCTGTCAGCACGTGATCTCTGGACCAGCCACTCGAACCAGCAACTGCTCACAAGGGAGGGGTCAGCCCTTCCCCCGAGTCACAGTTTCTTAGACAGACCTGGAAGGAATCTTAGCAGTTCTCCCATGGCAAGGTCCACGCAATCATCACAAGAGACGGCCCGATTATTCTGAGCAGGTTCTTTCTTCCCCACTGCCCAGCCGAAGCCACTATCCCATCTCTCACCAACACTTGTACTCCCCAGAGCACCAAGAGTCTGAGCACGCGGCCAAGACAGAGTTCTGCTGTCCCTTCAGTTGTCAGAACAGCTGGTGCCAATCTAGACAGCACACAGGCAGAGGAAAAGATTCAGCACCTGAGACTCCGCCACTAGAAGCCAGGGAGCAGCCACAGGGACCATGGCTCTGCCCAGGATCTGAGACCAGGACCAAGGGGAGGGTAGCCACGGGCTATCCCCAGAAGCCAGGATTCCCACCCCTCCCTGCCTTCCCCTCCCGCTCCCCCTGCCAAAACATGTTTATATTATTCCTACTAAATAGAAATATATATTTTTATCTATACATATATTTTATAATAATATATTATTTCTATTATAATATATTCTATATACCATTATTAAATATGTATTTAGATTATATATTATTTATATTATATATGGTATATATCTATGTAGCATCCCTGACCCCTGAACATCCCTCTAGCTCCGACTCTCTCTCCTCACTTTTCATCTACTCATCTTAAGAAAATTGCCTGTGCTCATTCTCTGCTCTTCCTCATCTCCCTCAACTAACTGCAATCTGGCTGCTACACTACTCTCCTCACGCCTAGGACATAGAAACTGTTAAAATAACAATATTTATAAAAGTGTTCATGGCAGCTTGATCACAATATCCAAAAGCTGAAACAGCTCAGGTGTCTAACAACAGGACACGAGATAAACTAACCATGCTATAGGCAAACAATGAAATAGTCCTCAGCAATAAAAATGAGGAAACAACTGACACAACACACAATATGAATGAATCTCAAGATCATTATGCTGAACGAAAGAATACGGACCCAAAAGAGCACACCTGGTAAGAATCCATTTACATGAATTCCTAGAACGGGCAAAACTAGTCCTTGGGGGAAAATATCAAGAGTGGTTGCCTCCAGGAGGGTGCAGGGATTGACTGGGAAGGAGCAGGAGGAGGGAACTTCTATATCTTGATGTGGCTTTGCATTATACAGGTGTACGCATTAGTCATAGAGTTAATATTGGCTCATTTGTACCTAGGGAAGAAAAAGAACCATAAACAAATATTTACCTCTAGTTAATGACATGCCTGCTGACTATTTAGGGATAAAGTACACTAATACCTGCAACTTATTTAGAAATGCATCAGAATATAAGACAGATGGATTAATAGGATGGGTAAATGGACAGATATATAACAAAGCAAATACAGCAAAATGATCATTGTAGCATCTGAGTGGATAGTATATGTATTATGCTTGGAGATTTTCATAATGAAATGATGGGGGAGGGGATCATTATCAATAACTTCCCAAATGCTACATTAAATGGAATCAGAGAAATCTGGGTTCAAATCTTGACAAGGCCATTTCCTACCTGTCTGATCTTGGACAAGACTTAAACTTTCTAAGTCTCAATATCTTAATGCATGAAAGGAAGTTGATAAATAACATCTGTGTTATGAGTTCCTGCAAGGATGATACGAGAGAACAGATGCCAAGAGCTTGGAAAGGTTCACTGTGACCTGAAGCTGTTAAACAAAAAAAAAAAAGAGTCCTCTGTTACAAACTCACAGAAATTCTAGATTTAAAAATAACTAATGAAAAATATCCATTTTCTTCAACTTCTGGGTCTCAAGAAATCCCTAGATACCAGAAATAGAGGGAACGGAAAGCCAGAAGAGCGGCACACGAGCTGACATTGAAGAAACCCTAGATGGGGGCAGACGGCTTCCAGACTG